TTTGACAGGCAGTGAAGTGATACCAGGGCTCAGCTTGGTGCTGCATGGGCTGGTGGGAGCAGGAGGGTGAATCAGAGCTCAGCCAAGAGGAGGGACCCGAGGGCAAACAGAGCAGGGAACAGAAATGCCCTGTGGACTCACCTGGACTCGTTGATTTTTCCACGGCCTGCAGTAACAGGGGGGAGCTGCATCCTCTCGAATATTATTTTACACTAAAAAAAAACAGGTATGGGGTGGGGTGAGAGGCAAAATCCTGAGCTTCATTTCAACCCTTTCTAGAGGTAAGGGTCAGAGTATGGTGGGATCCAGAGGGAGGTTCAGGTTTGTGAGGTGTGGCTCGCTTTCACCTCCACAAGAGCAAGGAACACAAAAAATTACGTTTTAATCTATCTTCTGTCTTCTGTTTTGCTGAGAACTCCATAGGGGACCTCAGGAGCCGAGTAGCCGAGATATTGCAGGTACAGCTGTGAGCATAATGGGTTTTTTAGTTCATTTGGAAAACAAAACAGAGTTGTTCTGTCTTGACCTGAAACATTTTTTCCACTATAATGAGAGAAAAGGAGCAAATACACACCTTCGGTCAACCAAAACATTCCATTTGACCCAAAAAATGAAGGCTTTCATTTTGTTTTCATGGTACTCAACCATTCCTTAATTCATGCTAAATTCAAAACAAGAAATGCCATCGAGCAAAATGTTTAGTGTTCAGCTGAACAGTTTTTCTTACCTTCCTGCCCCCACCTGGGGCAACTCAAGCTGAGTTTGTAAACTACTTTGGTTTGGTTTTGAGCTACAGGGGAAGGCAAAGGGAAACCTTACTGCTGGTCAAACCCCCCCAACCTGGTTTGTGGCCAGGCTGGAGGTGCAGTGAGGGAGCTGCAGGAAACTGCTCCTGCCTCCCCTGGCATGGCTGTGATAACAGCACCAGCTCCCTCAAATCAGCAGCTTGGAACTCCTTTCCTGCCCCATCCAAATATCTATAATAAAGGCAATTCACAGCTCCAGCAAGGTGTACCCTCCCTACCCACTGATGGCTACCTGCTAATCAGCAGCAGCTATCCCCCCCCCACCTCCTAAAATGTCTTATTAATGGGTTGGCACCCCCGGGAGAGCAGCGGGAGAACTGAAAGTAAACCATCAGGTTATGTCAGGATTTGAGTCACAGAGAAGCTCTAATTGAAACTTCTCTGTCATTTACTCATCAGGAATGTAGAGCTCCTTCTTTGAATGAAACATTAGACACCGGCCTGACAGCTCCAGGTGGAAGATTATCCGGCAGCTTAATCGCTCCCTGACAGCCCTGGTTACTCCCACAACAGCATCTATTAACCTGCCTTTTATTCAGACCCTTTTATGCCTTTTTAATCAGTGGCTCTGGGTGCTTTGGAGCAGGAGCTCAATGGATCTCAGACAGGATGGGAGGGCTGCACCTCCCCATCACGAAATTCCACTGTTTGAGGGGGCAAGGGATGCCTGTCAGGTCACCTCCTCCTGGGGGGAAATCTTCAGAAAAAAGGTTGCCTTCTGAAACTGCTAATCCAGTTTATCTCTGGGAAAGGAGATAACTCTTTTGCCAGAAGTTGGGATGTTATCAGGAACTTCAGACTTCTGGGGTGTACTGTTTAAAGCCCCAAGTCATGGATGTGAAAAAAGGCACTGTGAAAAATTCATCTTTAATTTAATTTATTTTTTGATAAGTTACTACTGAGCCTTTAGGTTTGCAGAGAAAAGCTCAAAACCAGATGTGAGTCCACCCTCAAGGCTCAGGCATTGGAAGACAGATGAAAAGAACCCAGAGTTTATCCTCTCTAAATCAAGACTGGATGTCTCTTGAAAACTGATGTTATAACTCAAACAGAAGTTATGGTCTTGATGCAGAAATTATTAGCTGAAGTTTCCTGAGCTGTATTATGCAGGAGGTCAGGCTAGATGATGACAATAGTCCCTCCTGGCCCCCAAGTCTATGAATCCTTCTCCTGAGTGTTTTGTAGTTGTCCCCAAACTGTCCTTTCTTATGTTTTATGCTTGGGTCCAGATTCTCAGTGGCATTCAGACCTAGAGCACCAGGGGTACATTTTCAGGGGGAAATAAAGGAATTTTAGCACCTCCATAAAATCTCACTCATCTGCACCAGTTCTCTGTTTGCTCTGAGCCCCCAGAGCAGACCCAGGGAGCCAGAAAACCTGTGGTGATGAACAGACTGAGGCATTTTGGGCTTCAAATTGCCCCAGCCCGGGCTCATTGATAGCACGGGTGTGACTGTCCCTGCTCAGCACCCACGGACCCGCTGATCCTGCTGAGCTCTCGCCGCGTTCGCTGAGCAGACGGGAAGGGGAGCGTCCATCTCGAGCTCTGCATTTGTGAAAAGGCTCTTCCCTGTGTCTGCCACCTTTATCCCTCCCAATTCCACCTCGCGGTGCTCCCAGTGAACAGCATCTGTGTGTAACACCCGGGGCTGGGCGGCTGCCAGCCCGTCCCAATTATCCGTGTGCTGCACCACATGCTGCTCCCCTCAGCTCCTGGCTCCTCGCTCCATCCATGCACCCAGATGTCCAAAGATTCAATCCTCCTTCCCCATGCCATTCTGGCAGATTTTGCTTCAGCCTTGGGCCAGATTGCCTTTGCTGGCTGCAGTTGGCTTGGCAGTGCCACAGTGGAGCCATCCCTGGAATAAATAACCCTCCCGTGAACGGACACCACCAGGCTCCTGTGCTCACACCCTGTGCTCACACCCTGTGCTCACACCCTGTGCTCACATCCTGTGCTCACACCCTGTGCTCTGCTGCTACATGTGATGGTCGGGACTGATGAAACGTGTCCCAGGTTGTCTCAGAGGGGAGAAGAAACAACCTTCAAGTGGTGATCCAGTATTTCTGCAATGCAGCCCCAGAAACCTGGAATTTATCCTCCCACCTGGGGTTCCCAGCCCCATTAATAATCTGAAATAAGATTGAGTCCATGCCCAGAAGAGCTTCCAGCAAAGGCAGACAAGCCAAACCAGCATGGTAGATAATAGCTGAGGGTTGGAAGGAGTGGGGAAACCTGGATAAAGGGGAAGACATGGAAAGGGCTGCTGGAGGGAACATGTGGAAAAATGCATTTGATGGAGGAGAGGAAAGGCTGTCTGGGGAAAAGGACAGAAATGTGTCCAAAACAGTGGCAGCATGGCTGAAGGAATAACACTGACAGGGAAGAAAATGAGGGAATAGGAGAATAGAAGGGCTGTGAAATACAAAAACTAGACATAGGAATAACAGCAGAATTTGGAAAGGTCTGTGTTGGAGACCACATTGGGATAACCAGGTATATGAAGCAAAAAGCCCAGTGAATTTATGCAGAATGGTACCAGTAACAGAAAATAAAAATAGAAGTGATGGTCTGGGAGCAGAGATAGAGGAGAAAAATGTAAAAAGACTGAAAAGGCAGATTCTTATCCAATGAAGAAAGGAGGTAACCTTGTGGCTTATAAACATTTTCATACTGTGAATAAGGTAAAAGAGGGATTAACACAGCTAATGAGTGACGAGTTTCAGTTTAAATAAGTATGTGTACATTGATAGACAGATATTCTACCACCAAAACAAAAGGATGAAAACACCTCAGGAAGAAGTTGCTGCCTTTCCAGAGCAGCTCTGGTGTGATAAAGGAACCACCACCATCCACCCAAGCACTGAGACATCTGAGACATTTGACGTGTCAGGGTCAGGTGAGGGAGCAGAGGAGAGCAGTGAGACACCCAGATGAGACAAACAGAGAAGCTGACCCTTAATCCAACCTCTTACAAAAAAAAAAAAAAATATTGAAGATTCTCTGTTTTTATTTTGGCTTGTATTTATCAGACAGGGGTCAGGGCACCATGCAGCACACATTTGAGTGTGGCAGCACGGACTGGAGAGCAGAAATGCTGCTGCACAGAGATCAGCTGTGTTCCCCCTGAAACACAACTGCCATTTCCTTTTCCATCTCTCACTTCCCTAAATAAAAAGCATTAAACTATCCTTTTTGTTCAACACCTTTATATCAGATATTTATATCAGCTGATTAATGGGAAATATTCAGGTTTTACACTGTTAGTGCCTCAGTAAGTTCATGCAAGGTACCCAGAGACATTTAATCATTGAGTTTGTCTTTATTTAATAGAGGTTGTTTAATAGAGTCTGCAAATCTGCTAAACCCACAGTGGCTCAGCACGTAATAAACCACAAGGGATCTTGGGGGTTTTCATGCCAATTATGCGTCGATAGCCCTGGATTTGGAGATCCTTCACATCTCAAGAGCTTGGTTTTGGCTCTGCTAGTGAGTAATGGCATTAACACACCTCCCTCTGCCTCCCCAGTAAATCAAATGGGGCACAAGCAATCACAGGCTGGTAGAGATCCAAACATTCCCAAATGTCAGCGGTGCTTCTATGCTTGAATTTAATTCAATCCTGCTCTTAACAAGAAAAGAGAGGATATTAACACAGCACTGCTGGATTTGGGCATGATAGCAGGTGGAGAAGGATGGAGACCTTTCTGAGGACAGTAGGAGAAGGTCAAGCACCCGGATTAGGCACGTGCTGATCGCAGAAGATCATTCACTGTGAGGGTGATCCCAGCTCTGCCCCCGGGATGTGGTCAGAGAAGGGATGAACACTCTTGCTGGCAGTGGATGTGGAGTTGTGAATTGTGGGAGTTTGTCAGGCTGTGACCCCCTGCTGAACAGCAAACCTGGAGGCAGGGTCAGGAGTGTGCCCTGTGAGGTGACTTTAGCACTGCCAGCTCTGTCTGCATAGTAAGAGTTCTCATTATAATCATTGTTTACAACCCCCCCAACGCAGCTCACCTGAGGGGCACAGGAAAAAGCTTTGAAAGACAACAATTGCAGCTTATTTGCAGTTGCTCCATTGGCTCGTAGCGCTCTCCAGATGCAGGTTAAAGCAGCAGTAAAGGAAGTAAAAGCGTTTTTAAAATCCACTTTTAGAGCTGTGCGTTGGTGACACGCATTTAAATCATCTGCATGCCATCAAGCATGGGTTCAAATTTAAATGTCACTGCAGAAGCTCTTCCTCTTACCCCTTCACAAAGTCATTTGTCATCTCCCAGTTCGTGGCGGTGAAAGGAACTGAAAAGAAAATTAGGCAAACAAATAAAAATCTATGTTTATAATGCATAATGCAACCCTGGAAACCTCTTACTGTAAGGTTTTTTTAAAATATCATTCAAGAAGAAAGGGGAAGGGAAGGAAAACAAAACTCCTGTTAAAGGAAACAATAGACAAAGAAAAAGTCTTTATCTTTGCTTAAGTGTTAGAAATAATAATCCAATTAAATAATCCTTATGGATGATCATCTGGCTGTCAAAGTGAACATTTACCTTACTGTTTATTACCAACAATGCTGTGATAAATTTAAATAAATATTGGGGGGGGGGGGGCTGGAATTAAGTGGTGGGGTCTTTTTCCCAGTCTTTAATTCTAAACTCATGACAGCACCCTCATTTCCCAGATCACTGAAACGTCTTTCTTCTTCTTTTTTTTTTTTTTAATGGCAATTAGATAAAGTGTCTTACATATTTTTTTCCCAAGAATTTCCAGTTTATGCTTCCCCAAGTTATAGCATTCATCTGAATATGAAAACCTTTATCACTCTAATGATTCTTCAGACCAGCAATCTTATTTCTGTGTTAGACAAAATATCATGAACAAAATCAATGAGTAATATAATATGGTTTCCATAGCTGAAGACACTATTAAACCATTATTTCAGTTTTACACTGCAGTGGAAACTATAGAACAGACACATGAGTACAGATTATATGATATCAATGATAAAAATTATTATCTTCAGTCACAGGGCCAAATGTTTGACTTCTGAGACACAAAACATTGCTCCTGATGCCAGAATGTAACCTGCCTTTTCACCTTTAGGGCAAAAATATTTCAACTCAATTTTAAGATTGGTTGATGGTAGACAAGAGATTTCTCATTACAGTCATTTAATATCCAATATGTGTTTGTTTTATCAGAGTTTTGAATTTTTCCCCAAAAAAGCACAGCTTTCTGCAGTCTTGTGACTGAGATGAGAATCACTATTGTGCTATAAAAATAATCGAGGCTGTAACTTGGACCCAGATGTTAGAGGAAGTGTTTTGAAAATATACATCTCAGGTTATAATACCAAAACAAGCATTAAAAAGACTCGGTGTTCTTTCCAAAAGTCTCATCATTTAATGCCAAATCCAGGCTTTGAGGACAACTTGAGTAATAGAGGTACTCGCAAAATCTATAAACTTCATTAATATTAGTTATGAGATTGAATTCCCCAAGTCTCTCAAACTGGGAGATTTTTCTTTTTCTGTGGACGTTATCAGGCTTTTGCACAAAATAAAGCTTGTGAGTGCATCACCAGAATGAGTCTCAAAGTCAACACCAGTACTGGAAAGGGGACCTGGAGAATCCCCTCTGCCACCCAAATCCTGCCGCTGGCACAAAGGCAGGACCATGAGAGCTGTGAGCTCCCTGGCTTTGCCCCAGTTTCACCAGTTGTGAAGCTTCACCAAACACTTGGGTTTAGTGGAGTTGTGATCCTAATTCAGCCATTCTCGTTAGGATGTGCCAGCAGCTCGACCCAGAGCTGATTATCTCACTGCACAGCCTGCAGGGCTGGGCTGGACCAAGAGCATCTGAGCCCACTGACCTCTGTCCTGCTTTGCTTTGATACTCACAGAATGACAGGAAGATTTGGGTTGGAAGGGACCTTAAAGACCATCTCGTTCCAACCCCTTGCCATGGGCAGGGACACCTTCCACTAGCCCAGGTTGCTCCAAGCCCCATCCAACCTCGCCTTGGACACTTCCAGGGATGGGGCAGCCACAGTTTCTCTGGGCAACCTGTGCCAGGGCCTCCCCACCCTCACAGGGAAGGATTTTTTCCTAATATCTGATGTAAACTTCCTCTCTGTCAGTTTGAAGCCATTCCCCCTTGATCTGTCACTCCAGGCCCTTGTCCAAAGTCTCTCTCCATCTTTTTTTTTGCTCCTTCAGGCACTGGAAGGCCACAATTAGATCACCCCGAAGCTTCTCTTCTCCAGGCTGAACAATCCCAATTTTCTCAGCCTTTCCTCAGAGCAGAGCTGCTCCAGCCCTCACATTATCTTGGTGCCCTCCTCTGGACTCGCTCCAACAAGAAAGGACTTCCAAGGTCAACAAGTCCAACTTTTGACCAAGTACCACCACACCCACTAAACCCTGCAGAGAAGGGCCACATCTACTTGGGTTTTTTTGAAGGCTGCAGTCTGTTCCAATACTTGACCACTCTCTCAGTGAAGAAACCTTCCCCAATATCCAGCCTGAACCTCCCCTGGTGCATCGTGAGACCAATTCCCCTTGTCCTAAAGGGATCAGTAGCTCCAGTGTAGCTGCTACTTTGGGTCCCTTCTATGAGAGGTGGGTCAAAGAGGCACTGTGTCTGTCCCCAGAAATGTCTGCAGAAGTCTATTCAGGTAAATTTCTTTAAAATTTGTTTAATTTGTTCAAGGCAGCTCTCAGGCTTTTAAGTCAATGACTTAACTTTAAACGCTTAAATTAAGAAATCAGTTGTTTAACTTTCAGTTACCCAATTGGCACATCTGTCTTTTACCTTTTTTCAACAGTTAAAGTTAGAAAACTGCAACAGAATAGCAAACAGAACTGAATAGCAAACACAGGGAAATATTTTTCCACAGTTTACAAGTTAAAAAGTCTCCTAAGGAACCCAAATGGTTGTGTAAACATGTTGGTTAGATAAAGAATAAGGGTTTAGGTGTCTGCAATCAGTTGAAATCCTTCAGAGTTAATTTGGCATTCATGGAAGCAGAAGATTGTTTGGTCTTGATGAAAGAATAGTATGAACTGGTCCCATCCAGCATTCCCAACAGAGCTGGAGGAATAATCTGCTCTGTGAATTTGGCCTCTTGTTCTGTTCTCCAGTTATCCTCAGGCAGATGGTGATTTTGTTGTATTATTGGCTATTGGAATTATTTACTGAATAACCTCAGTAAACAATTCTCGCTTGATAGATTGGCAGTGAGCGGCTTCCTTGGGATCTTCAGTGCTTGCTCTGCTTCAATAAGATGGAAAGACCACCTGGAATCACTGTGGTCTCTACTAGGATGAGCAGATTCCTTAAAAACAGGTTTCCAAAGGAAAAAAGACTGTGATTTCAGTTTCAACATTCCCTTTCTAGGAATATTTCCATAAGCTGAGCTGTTTTCCATGGGCATTCCAACACCCAGGATTAGCCCAGGTACACAAATTAGCACCAGATCTCCCAACCCAGCCACAGACCTGGTCCCTCAGGTCTCTTTGTTGACTTCCCTGCCCAGACCTGAGGCTTTCAGCTCTTCCATCACATGACAGACACTCATGAGCACAATGGACAGTCTGGAGGAAATTTAAAGCAGCCTGTGACTGCCTACTCAGTCCTTTAAAATATTTGATCATCCATTAAAATAAAAGCTTTTCAGAGAAAAATGACAATAGAAATAATAATCTAATGCATACAAGCTGGCTTCTCCCCATCCTTCATCTCCTTCAGGCCCTCCCCAGCCTCTCTGGTGACCCCTCATCTCTCCACAGTTCTCCTGCTCCCCCATCTCTTCCTTCTGCTGGGAGAGGCTTTTAGATGCTGAGTATTCCTTTGACTTCCAGGTTCCCCACTCCAGAAAAAAAACATTTGCCACCTATCCCTTAGCAGAATTAAAAGACAGATGCAGGTCCTTGAATGGGGAAGGTTGTCCTTTGTCTGTCAAAGAGATGGATGAATGGATAATACCAGAGGAGCTGTTTAGCTTCATGCTTGAATTCCACAGCATCTGAGCATCACTGAGATATCATAAATACTCTAGTACTCCAAGATAGTCCAAATCAATAAAGGCACAGGGAAATTCCCACTGGGTATCACAGCTCATGTAATAAATGTATTTGTCTAACCAGGCAACTTAAAATATATATATTACATTTCTGGTTTGAGAGATTATTCACCTAAACTAGAACACTTTACTGATCACAAGGATTCTTTAAAAAATGTGCACACCTATTTATAAAACATATTTTGCCGTTTGATTTCATACTGTATAAGTTGCCCAGTGCCTGACAATGACTTGTGAGCCTACTCCACTTTTCCAGATATGGATTTCCACCAGGCAGAAATAAAGTAGGAAATTACTTTTCTTATTTTATGGGCCATGAGAAAAATCACCGATCTCAGGACTTAAATGCTGGCCAGCAAAGCAAATGACCATTCAGAGGAGAATTATAGAAGCATAAGAAATTGCCAATAAATAACACACCGCTGTTGAAGGCACAGGGTGAGCTACCAAGCATATCAGAGGGAAAACCAACATTCTTAATGCTGAGATCCTAAACAACCCTGGCAGCAGCTCCCAAGAGGACAAAACCATATATTCCAGTGACTCTGAAAAGGGCATTGGGTTTTCTTAATGAACAGACTGGAAATCAGCATCTGTACATGAATGCAGAAATATATATATAAAGCCAGGAGCTGAGGCTCGTGACGTGCTGGTTGAGCTTTGAAGTAATGTTGAGCTGAACTAGTTGAATTAGTGAAAATTCAGGGGGTTGTAGCTCAGGGTTCGTAGAATCATAGAATTATTTGGCTTGGAAGGGACCTTAAAGATCATCTTGTTCCCTGGGCAGGGACACCTTCCACTAGCCCAGCTTGCTCAGAGCCCCTCCAGCCTGGCGTTGTGCTGTTTAAATGTGGATGTTAAAACTGAGAAAGACCAAGTTACTTTTTTAGGGAGGCTGGGCTTGGAGCTGCAAAGGCCTGGACATGTGTGGAGACCCACCAGCACGTTTTTATGACCAGGCTGTGCAATGGCTTTTTGAGAATAATGCTGCTGTTGAACAGGAGCTTTTCCCAGCATTACACTCCCCTGCTTTTGCCTGGTGTAACAAGCCACAGAGGAAGCTGGAGTGTATTTATGGAAGAAGGACTTGGGAGTTGAGATCTTCTCTCATTTGGAGGCTACAGGGAAGTGTAGAAAGGCAGGAATTCACACCCAGCAGTCTGAGATGACTAGCTGGTCTAATTTGACTTTCTCTGTAATTAAAGGAGAAGCTCAG